CAATTCATCGATCAGCCTTCTCCTTCTGTTTCCTCCATCTGCTTTCACTTCTCTTGAAGGTCTGTTACCAAGATAAGACTATGTGTTACCAGAAATTATCATTTTTTTTAATTCAACAAAAGAAACGTAAAATTGTCGTCTATAGCTCATAGCTCTGCTATTTAGATCTATACACTACATGAATCCAGGAATCCAGGGTAGAATGAGAACGTTTCTGGAATAAAGTAAATGAGAGAGGGGGATAAACAAGGAAGAGTCTAAATGAATAATGTTTTATATTTTCTTTATTATATTGTGTCCTGCTTAATTTTTATTTATCTAGACTCAGTGATTATTTTATTGTTTCAGTATCACAGCTATGGACTCATTCTATCCCAGATCTATTCTGATCTGCTTTGGTAGATAACACAGCAATTTCACTACTGTGAGATTGGTGTTATGAGCCCTACCTGTTGATTTTGTTTGTTTGTTTCTTTGTTGTTTTTTTTTTTGGTACCAGGGATTGAACTCGGGTCCTTGCGCTTGCAAGGCAGGCCACTGAACCACTGAGCTAAATCCCCGGCCCTACCTGTTGAAATAGTTAAGTAAAAATATTAGTTTGAAAATGGATCATGGAACTCATGGTTTATATCTTAGTTACTCTCCCATCACTAGGACAGAATACACAACACCCACAATTTAAAGGAGGAGAGACTTATTTTGGCTCACTGTGTAGTGCAGTCAGCAGGCTGCAAGACAGAAACAGCACGGCAGAGGGACAGAGTTGAGGAAAAGTTGCTCAACCCATGGTGTCCCAGAAGGAGATGGAGGAGGAGCTGGGAGAGAGATGCACCCTTCCAGGTCATGCCCCTAGTGACCTGTCACTTCAGACCAGTGTCCACCTCCTAACAACACAGTCAGATGCTGAACTCATCCGTGGATGAAGTGGTTTGCATTCTAGACAAGCGAAGAACCAAGCCATGGCAGTGGCTCAGTGGTTGGACACTTGCCTAGCATGTGCAAGGCAGTGGGGTTGATTTTACTCTACAAAAGATTAAAGAAAAAAAAAAGAGCGATCAAAGACTCCCTAATACTTATGCCTTGGAGAAAGTTTGTGGGAAACTAATATCATAGCTCTAAGTGGGGAACAAAGAACGTCACAAAACTTAGTACTGGAATCTTAACTTTATCAAATATGGTTCTTTGTAGTATCATTCCATGTTTAACTCTTAAAATGTGGAAAAGAACTTGGTAGAGAATCAAATCTTAAAAGCGATATCAGTTGACATCCTAAATTAGAAGATATTTAACTCATAGAAAAACTTAGTGCATGTTTTATGAAGCAGTGAATTTACCCATTTATTCCTTAATGAGTTAGTGAACCTTTTCAGTGTTCTTAGCATTATTCTTCTTGCTGGAGAGGATAATGGCTAATATTCAAAGACTTTGTCCTTATGGAATTTAGGTTCTAGTGAGGATAAATAAGGAAACTTTAAGGAAATAAAATAACTTCCCATATCTCTAGGTTCTCTGAAGGAAAACAACAACAAAACATGACAATGGAACAGAGAACAGTTCCAGATAGCTTCTCTAAGGAGATCATATATGAGTTGACCCCTAACCCCTGAGAAGGGGCCAGGTGTGGACAAACATTTCAAGCAGTCACTAGAGTTCCTCCTGAATAGCAAATCAGCCAGTGTGGTTGCAGCAGAATGAAGGAGTAGGAAAGGAATTTCAGAAAAGGTCAGAATAAGTAGGGTGTAGAATTCACACTTTAAATCGTATAAAGCCTTGTAATGCATCAGAGCTTGAATTTATTATGGGTGAATCAGGACAGCATTGAGAATTCTAAACAGGGAAGTAATATCACTTGACCTAAACTTCCAAAAGAATGTGTGAATGAATGCATAAGGCTTTTCTTTCCAACGAAGTCAATAGGCAGGAAGCAGAGAACAGAAGTTAATAAAGGAAGTACCTTGCAAAACCTTTAATGTAGATATTAGCCTTAGAAATTTTTCAATCGGTGAATGACACACTTTCTTCATATAGTACCAGGGACACCTTGCTGGAAGTATCACCAGTGCTATTTACTTTATGTGACTTACCATCAGAGCTCCTTATGAGTCCTTTTTAAGAAAAGATTAAGATGGAAATAACAAATGGACAACATAATTGTGTAAGACTGATACCTAAGAAAGTTGGAAAATGGAAAGGTAGAAGTTGTCAGGAAATGGATACCTGACATCTTTCAGTGCAGTCTAAATTGGCCTTCATAAACTTCTAAAATTTTGCAAAAGAGTTTATCATTGGATCATGGAAAATTTAGATAATGATGTGCATTCTTTTAATTTATGAATAAATATAGCCTATATTCTCATTTATATGAAATCTACAGATCTTTTGTCCCACAGACTCTGAGCACAAATAGTTGACAAAAAATCCAGATAGAGATCCCAACAAGTTAATCAGAAGCACATTCCTACAAGGGCCTTGCCGTAGCACACAGGGAGCTCTTGCAATCCTGACATAAGCTCATGTGAAATCTGTTAGAAAATCAGGTCTGATTAAAGATCTAAATATTAAAACAGAAACACTAAACTTGCTGGAAGATAAGTTAGGTAGAACTCTTGAAGACATTGGCATAGGAAAAGACTTTATGAACAAATCCTCAGTAACATGGGAGCTAGCACAAAGAATCAACAAGTGGGATTAACAACAAGCTTATTAAAAAGCTTCTTCACTGCAGAAGAAACCACCAACAGAGCAAAGAGCCAACCTACAATGTTGGAAAAATTTTTACCGGCTGTTCCTCAGATAAAGGACTATTATTTAGAATATATAAATAACTAAAAAAAAAATCAGACCCTCCAAATACAGAGACCCAATTCAAAAATGGGCATCTGAAATGAACAGACGCCTCTCAGACAAACAAGTAAAAGCAGCAAATAAACATATGAAAAATGTTCACCATCACTGGTCATTCGAGAGATGCAGATGAAAACAACACTGAGATTCCACCTCACCCCAGAAGGAATGGCTACTATGAAGAAATCAACCAATAACAAATGCTGGTGGAGTTGTGAGGAGAAAAGAACCCTTCTTCATTGTTGGTGGGAGTGCAGACTGGTGCAAACACTGTGCAAATCAATATGGAAATACCTCAAACAACTAGGATTAGCAGTCTCCTTGACCCAGCTGTTGCCCTGCTGGGTATCTTCCCAAAATAATTAAAACAATCATACCACAGCAATATATGCACACCCATGTTTATAGTTATAGTTTGTAATAGCTAAAACTTGGAAACAGCCCACTTGTCCATCAATTGAAGCATGAGTACTACTCAGCCACAAAGAATGAGAAACTAGAGTCATTTATAGCTAAATGGATGTATATTGAAGCCATAGTCTTAAGTGAAATAAATAGGGCACACATGTGTAAATACTAAACAGTTTCTCTGGTATGAAAAACTAAAAGTATAAGTAAGGTTCAAACTGTATAATTGATAATGTGAAATGGGAAGAAAATGTCTAAAGAAATAGAGGAAGTGGGAAGGGTAAGGGAAAGTAAATAAGGGAAAAGAAAAAATATGAGGAGGAAAAAATGGAAGCAAAGTCTTTGTAAATAGGGAAGGGTGGAGGGGGTGAAGAGAGGGCAGAGGAATGGGAAAAAAATGAGAACCAAGACCTGTCATACAAAGGTACAAGATCCCAATGATGAATATAACTGTACTGTATACCTAAAATGTACCAATAAACAAGGGAAAGTAAATAAGGGAAAAGAAAAAATATGAGGAGGAAAAAATGGAAGCAAAGTCTTTGTAAATAGGGAAGGGTGGAGGGGGTGAAGAGAGGGCAGAGGAATGGGAAAAAAATGAGAACCAAGACCTGTCATACAAAGGTACAAGATCCCAATGATGAATATAACTGTACTGTATACCTAAAATGTACCAATAAACTTAATGAAAAAAGAAAAAAAGAAAATCAGGTCCAAAAGAATTGCTTTCTTGGCAGCATAATGCAATATATACATATATATATATATATATATATATTTTAAGAGGA